CCTCAAACCAAACTCAGACTTGGCGCCAAAAGACAATCGTCAGTTGACCACTCTGCAATTGCGTCGAACCTCACCTTCCCGTTTCTTGTCGCCGCTTGTTATGACATCAATATTCCCCATCTTCACCATTGCAGCTCCAAAATCGTTGAGTAACTTCTCCTGATCGTTCGCGTATTGGCCCACTTGTTCTTCGGTCTGTTCGCTTGTCAACAGGGCCTGGTCCGAAGTGAACAGGCCTTTGTTGTTGCGTACGTTTTTGTAGTAATTGTTATCGAAATAGGTTGGGGTTATAGGGTCCATGAAGACAAATGGGTTTTTGTTGGAATATTTTGGGTTTGGGCACTTTTGCCTCAGCTCGTCCGCGTATTGCGGGTCCAGGCTATCGTCTCCTTTCGAATTCTTGTTGTAGAGCCTCTTGTTGAAGGAGGAGCAGTGGGACCGCCCGATTGTGTGTGCGCCTACACAAATATATCAATTCTAATTATTTTTATTTTACAAAATGTTCAGAAATATTAAAAAATAAAAAAAAAACCGGAAGGTCCCTGTACCAAAAAAAAAAAAATAAAAAAAATCGTGCCTATGACAAATACATCTATTTAAAGAACTCCAATATTTTTCCAATTGGTCATTGTTCCTTTGTAAATAATATTGGTTAATAGCCTTATCATTTTGGTAAGAGATGAAATATAGTCAATTTTTCTTTTTTTTTTTTTGTGGAAATATGGAATATAGTCGTTTGTCACTATGTGAAACGACACACTTACCTTTACTACTAGAAATAATCGTTTATGAAGAATTTGGGACTTAAAGAAATGGTTTATACTTAAGTGTATAAAAATACATTATTAAATATATAAAATACACATTTTTTTTCCGACCAATCATGAAATCCCAAAGTCCCCTAAATTTATTTCTTATAGTAACGATAATTGTGTCATTTTATATGGCAAAATGGCTCTATTTCATTAAAACCAACACTGCGGATCTATTTCATTTTGAAATGTGAAAAAAAAAAAAAAAAAAA